AGAGAGAGAGAGAGAGAGAGAGAGAGAGAGAGAGAGAGAGAGAGAGAGAGAGAGAGAGTTGGTTTCAGACATTTTTTCAAGTGCTTTCAAGGGCCAGGCCATAGGAGAGTCAGGGGTGACTTTTTAGTTTCCAGGGAGATGGGAAACATGGTGAGGCTCTCACCATGGAATGAAGTCATAACCATGGGAATCCATATGAAGGAAAACAGATGAAGAATTTGAATAAATAAAAAGAAAGAAACTAAGTGAACAACATGAGGGTTTAGGGCTTAGGGCTTATGGCTTATGGCTTAGGGTTAAGGAGGTACAAAGACAGGATGGTTGTGCCTGACTCCGAAATACATTTGTCTTGAATGACCAACACAATACCAGTGCTGCACGTTAGTCTCCCTTGCTCCAGTGTACATTACTTCAATTGCATCTATCTATAGATAGTAAGCCATTATAGTCCGAACAATATATATCTTATGGATACTACATATGTGGGACGAAATGTATGTGATACATTCCTGTGCTTCCTTCTCCCCGTTCCTCTCTCTGTCTTTTTATGTCTTTGTCAATCTGTCTTAGTCAGCTGGTCCCGATGGCTGGCTAGTTGGTCGGCGCAAAATTGTTCTGGTGGGCAGCCGCATAGTCAAGCCACCAGGCAGTCAGCCAGACATGTGTTTGTTCGTGTTTGTGTGCTTATCACGAACATGCCAGTCAATGGCAATGTGATTACCATGGTGATTTTTTATTTTTTTATTTTTTAACAGAATGACATGTGGCATTTCATTATCACAATTGAATAAGGAGGCCGGGAATCCCTCCACAAACAACCCGGAGGGTTGGGGCCATTACCCAGCTTCGGCTTGTGCTGGAAACTGGGTCCAGTAGCCCAATTCAAATGCTACTTCTCAAACAAAGCAAAAACTGGACAAACAAATAGAAAAACAGCGGAAGGGAGCAGAATCTATCCTTCTAAATTATCGTCTACTAGAGACTTCATGTTCACCAACTGCTGGGAGCCTTACCCAGTTTCGCTTTGTAATGGCAACAGAAAAATGAACACCCTCCTTTTCACATCTCTATTGCTAGCTTCTTATGGAGGTCTGCCCCTGCTGGTTTCTGAAGTGCTTCTGCTCTCTTAAACCACTATTTAAATAGCCTGCCCAAGCAACCTTGCCACCCCCCTGCTAAGGGCCTGCTTGCTCTTCGCCCCCTTGAACCCTAAACCCTAGATAAGCCCTCTCTTCGTTGCTGTCTTTCCTTCCTTTTTTTTTTTTTTTTTTTCCCTAACAGAACCTTTTGGTTCTGGCTCCTACCATTCTGGGGAGCGACAGTCCGGTTCCTTTTCCCCGGCAAGTCAATAATAAATACATAAGAAACTCACACACGCTCGTCCCCATTATGGCTGGGAGGCCCGAGTAGATGGTATTGATTACTTCCATAAGGAAGGATGTACCATCCCTCACCCCTGGTTAAGTAAGCCTGAGTTCTTACTCCTTTCATCATCCCTGTGATCCCAGTTGGACTCCTCTCAGTAATGAACTGCCAGATAATTGTGTTTTAACTAGAGTCGCCCAGGACCCCTCCTGAAATGTCTGACACCCCAATCCCTATTTGCATTGCTCTCTGCCTAAACCTTAAACCCTGAACCCTAAACCCTCAGCTGTAATGCTGTCATAATGTTGATGTACTACCTCAATGAATCTAACACACTATTCTTGCTCACGTTGCTCCGTATTGTCAAACCAGTGGAAGACTACTCTGGATCCTTCGATTGTTGCTCTCTTACCCTTTACCAACGTAACCCTTTGAAACGTTTTGAATGTCTCCCAGACTTTCTCCGGGTTTTGTTGGGCTTGCCTTCTTGCTCTGTGCCATCGGGCCGTGATATCCGTCTCCAACAGGTTGTCTAGAACTTTCTTGGCCTCCAGTCTGTGCATTTGCCCCGTTCCTATCGTCATCTGACATCTTCTTTTCCATATGGTCCATAATGCATATTGTCTCAATAGTTGAAATGCTCTTTTTTGTCCCAATTGCCAATTCTTTGGAAGTTCCATACCGGTGAAGAGGATCCTTCTGTCTTCCGGAAAGACCTCATCTGAAATCTTTTGCCAGTTCCCTGGCTACTTCCCACACGTAGACCGCCTCTGGGCATTGCAGCAGGCAGTGAAGCAGGGTTTCCGTCTCTTCATCAGTACACAGATTGCACTTCTGGTTGATCTGATCTCCCTGATTGTGGCCCCGACGCTCATACAGCCAAACGTTGACCGGGAGCGCTACGTGGAAAATCAGTCATGGTAAACTTTTGACCCTGCCTAACTTTGTACTACTCAATGCTGACCACGGAAGACAAGAGACTTGCGCCTTGGGTACTTCCAACCTCCGTTCCCACCGATTAGCCAGTGTTTCTGCCAGTGGGTGAGACCTCCTTCTGAGCCTGTACCCCAATTTGGTTGTATAGTGAAGTATGTTTACTCTTCTGGCAACCCTCAGAAAACCTCCCTTGAGATTTCATGCCCATTCTGCCGGGTCTACTTCTAAATCTTCTAGAGCCATAGTTGGAGCATAAATCATATAGTTGTCTGTCTCCGCCACTCTGACCTTACGTACTGCTTTTTTTAAGATTGTAATTGGGGAGATAGATGTCGTATCCAATTGACTGATGGTAGTCCCTACTTCTTCTATTGATAACATATCAGCCAACAACCATGCATCCCCTTGGCCCGTCTTACCCCTTATTCTAAATGCAGCTTCCGGTTTGTCCTCATTCAACCACGTGGCCCAGTTGCCGTTTACCCAATTCGACCCCTTTTCTAGCAGGTTTACCCATACTGGTGGTATGGAGATAAGAACATCATTCAGATTCTCTAGCAATTTGTGGGTACCCTTCATCTCGTTCCGAAGGTCTCTTGCCGTCTTCCATCGCTGCTTGTCGTCTGACCATAAATGTCTAACCTGCCAGACTCCATGTTCCACCCATGTTCCCCATTTAGAATCTCTTGCTGTCAGGGCACGCGACGTCCCCTGATGATCCTTAATCCAAGGATTGCAGAAAAGTGGTTGACGGAGAATTTCCTCCCTGTTCCTAGGTTCTCTTGCTCTTGCTGGGAAAGTGTTCCCCCAGAGCTTGAGGCGTTGTGCCCAATAAGAGCGATCGCTCTTGTCCGTTGCCCCAGGTGTCCGTTCGCCTTCGCTCTTACTCTTCCTTGCCCAGCCTTTGCTCATCACCCAAAACAGCCCTGCCATGTTGACCGGTGTTTTGTACTTAACCAGTCTTCTAATGTGTTTTAATGCTAGAGAAGCCCAAGGTAGCTGAGGATGGGTGATAAGCTTCAAAACCCACTTCGTTCGCAAAAGCCCAAGGTAGCTGAGGATGGGTGATAAGCTTCAAAACCCACTTCGTTTGCAACGCCTTCATCTGCTGTCCCGGGTCTAATATGCCCAATCCCCCTTGCTCTTTTGGCTCGATTACATGCTTCCATGCTACCTTAGATATGGCATTCTGTTTACTTGGGTTTGCTGTCCATAGGAAAGCTGCTGACCTTCTTCTTAACTCACTTATAGACTGATCTAGCGGTGTCCAAATCGAACCTACATACCACAACATCGAAAAAATGGAGGCGTTTAGGATTAACGCTCTTCCAAACAAGGAAGTATAAATTGCTGCCCAAGCACTTAGCGTCGTCAGAATTTTTGCTAAAATCTCTGGAGCCATTGAGTGGTGGGGCCCAACTTCTGCTAACCTAATTCCCAAATAAGGTGAAATAACGTAGCGGTTCCTCTACTGTTGACCACTGCATTCCTTCCGGGGTGTTAACCGGTCTATGCTCTTCTCCTTCTCCATAGTGCAACCACCAACCTATAGTCTTGGGCCAATTTATTCTCATTTCGGATGCTAGCTGGAAAGCAAGCATTGCTCGAGTGAGAGCTGACGATTAACCAATGAAAATAACAAATGAAGTAAAAAACAAACAAATAAAAGTGATAAAAAGTCAGACTAAATTCACAAATTTTGACGAGGCACGAATAAGCACCGTCAGGTCGTCAGCAAAAAGGAGTGTCGTCGGCAAGTGAACTAGTCTACCCTACTGATCGGGTTCAACTACCAACCGTTGGATGGAGGGATCCTTTGTGAGAAATGATGCCACTGCTTCCATTATGAACAAAAAGATGGGGGCTGCTAAGGGATCCCCCTGTCTGACCGATCTCGACATCCTATAGCTCTGCGACAGGTGACCGTTCACCCGGACCTGCCCATGTGCATCATTGTATAAGACCCGTCGTATCCATTTCCTGAAATTAGGTCCGACCCCTATCCTTTCTATGCACTGCCGAAGGATACACCAATTCACTTGGTCGTATGCTTTCTCAAAGTTAAAGAACGGTATTGCCGCATTCATTCTCTTATCCTTAATGTAGCGAACTGATTCCGACAAAGTCATAACATTGTCCAGTATAAACCGGCCTGGGATAAAACCAGTCTGATCCAAATGAAAACAGCCCCTTGTAACCTTACTGAGCCTTTTAGCCAAGGCCTTCACTACTATCTGGTGTGTGAGTGTCAGCAAGGTAATGGGCCTGTAAATCCTTTTTTTTTTAATTTTAAACAGGGCCTTATGGCCCTGGCTCCATTTCCATTCTGGAGAGCATCAGTCCGGTTCCTATTCCACCGGCAAGTCAGAAAAAATAATTACATCATATAACACCCTCACGCTTCCTTCCGTCTGGCCGAAGGAACCCTGATCAGCATTCATTACTCCAACATCGTGGAGGATTGACTGTCAGCTTGCCCTGCTTCCATCTCTCCTCTCAGGACTACTATAAGAGCCTGTCAAATAACACATAAATAGCACGGGAGGTCTAAGCAGCTGCAACTTCTTCCGAACTCTATGTACACCCTAAATCCCGCATATGAGCCTCGTGATGTCTCTAACATTCTCATCCCTGCTTGTCTTGTTTTTGTCCACACCCTCCAGCCTAAACCCTAAACCCTACACCCTAAACCTTAAACAAAGTTAATCTTTTACCATCTGTTCCATGCGTACCATGGGCTGCCGTCTGCCGTACGTGTGTCTTGGATGCTCTTCCAGGCCCAGAACAGAGCTGGTCCCTCGTGTACTTGGGTCTTCAGCTGAAATACCGACTAGACATAATTGGTCTTTTTTTTTTTTTTTTTTTTTGAGAGCACCGTCTGATCTTAGGGTCAACGGAACTTATGTTGCCCTAAAGTCTTGTTGCCCCTCCTGGTCTGGAGTTGTCCTCCTCTGGGGGATCGACGAATTGTGCCAGTCTTTCCATCTCATTTGTAGATCCTGGATCTCAACTATCTTGACGAATTGTGCCAGTCTTTCCATCTCATTTGTAGATCCTAGATCTTAGCTATCTTCCCTTAGACAAGCCATACCTTGTTGAAGTTGGCGACCAACTCTTGCTGTTTCTCTGGATTTTGCCGAACTTGGCGTCTGACCTTCTTCCATTGACACCGGATATCGGTCTCCATGAACTGTTTTGTAGTCGCCCATACTTGTTCAGTCGGATTAGTCGTCTTGTCAATTGTCCTGTTGCATCTCTCCTTCCAGATGGCCCACAGTGTCACCTTCCTGATAATTCCGAACCAGGCGCGTTCAGATTTGGGGGCAAGAGATGGGGTGTTAGTCCATAGGAGAAGTTGGATTGGGTGTTCGGGTAGGGGAGAGGGATATAAGTGGTCCCAAAGCGCTGAGGCTCTTGCCCACAGGTCAGTAGCGAGTTTACAAGTGATCAGGCAATGTATTATGTCGTCCTGTTCGTTGTCTGAACATGCCCCACATTCTTCTGAGCTGTTCGGATCGCTGTTCTTCCTTCGCATATTTAGTCAGGCATTCACTGGGAGGGCATTGTAGGTGATCAGCCATTGGAGACTTCTTATTTTAACTGGGCAAATTGATTTGTACTTCCGCCAGGGGAGTTCCACAATTGGTTCCATTCTCTGACCGAGCAGTTTGGTCCATCGTTCTATGATTACTGGCGCGGGGTCTTTGGTTCTTAGAAACTTTTTATATCCCATCTTAACTGTATACTGTGTTATCTGAGTAGGATTCTTACAGAATCTGCTAGCTGCTGGGAGCCACGCCCATTCATGTGGATCGAATTCAAGGTCTTGGATTGCTGTGTCCGTGTGGAATATACTCTTCGGCCAGTTCCCCAATACTCTCACCTTTCTCAACGTGTAGGAGTTCAGAGTTACTTCTTGTGGGTCAGTATTGTGAATGGTGAGGGACTTCGGGTTAGACCTATCTATGGGGAAGGAGATGAAGACTCCAGCACGAGCTTGGCTCGGGGGCCTGCGAGAGAACTGATACGCCTTCATGGGTATTATTTCCTGTGTCAGCACTCCCCATACCCCTGCTTTCCATGAGAAGTTTTCTTTTAAGAGTTCTTTCCATCTATCAGGGATACTGTTGACCAATGCTGACAGATTCTCGTCCCGGCGGTGACATCCCTTTAGTAGTGATTCTCATTTATCCGTTTTTTTCCCCTCTTAGACCCAAATGTGACTCACCTTCCAAACCCCATGTCTAATCCAGGAGAGCCATCTATGGCCTCCTGCTAATGACAATGGCTGGTCGCCTGCATCTTTAATGTTCTGATTCCCGAACAAAGGCTGCCGCAACACCTCTTCTTTGGATTTGGGTTTCTTAACCTGCTTAGGCATCATCTCCCTCCAGATCCTGATAAGTGCTGTCCAGGACGGGGTGGGGGGTTGTGTCTCATCTTGCTGCGAGGTTGCTTGGTGTCGTCTCCTTCCGGTTTTCAGCATCCAATCCTTGTTCATTACTTAAAAGAGACCTGACATGTTATCTGGTGTCTGAACTGGGGCTAGGTATCTAATACTATCCAGGGCTAATTTGTGCCATGCCAACCTAGGTTGGGATAACAGTTTAACTACCCATTTGATCTGCAGAGCTTTGGTTTCTTGTCTAGGATCGATTATCCCTAGAACCCCCTTTGACGGCCTTGTAGTTATGTAATGCCAAGCTATCTTAGGAATGTACTTTGTTTTGTTAGGGTCCCCTGACCAGAGGTATGCTCTTGCTCTGCTGTTTAGCTCTTTAGTAGTTGAGTCTGGTATAGTCCAGATGGAGGCTATATACCACATCACTGAGAATACGACACGTTAATCGTTAAGGCTCTTCCCAACAGCGAGGTGAAAGTATTGCCCCATTTTCCCATCTTATTTATTTGATTCGTTAGCAGATTCTGTGCCATTTGAGGGGAAGGGCCCTCCTTGGTAACCATGATTCCCAGGTATCTCGTCGGTTCCCCAGGACTCTCCTACGTCATGTCAGCTTCTGGGCCTGCCAAATACCCCCTCTGACAACCACCACCCCACCGTTTTCTTCCAGTTTATCTTCATTTCTGAAGCTAATCTGAACGCTTCCATCGCCCTGACTATTGCTCTTACTGAGGAATCTGATGCCCTAATGAGAACGGGGAGATCATCTGCGAACATTATCACCGTCGGAAACTGGATATGGTGGGGTGAACCGGTGTTGAGCTCTGGGAGCCTGTGGATGAATGGGTCTTTGCGTAAGAGGGATGCTATGGCCTCCATTACGAAAAGGAAGATTGGTGGGGCTAGGGGATCGCCTTGCCTCACCGACTGGGAAATCTGATATCGGTTGGATAGCAGCCCATTGACTGGTACACATCCTGACGCATCATTGAAAAGGACTTTGACCCACTTTCTGAAATTGGGTCCCATTCCCATTTTCTCCATGCTCTCTTCGAGGAAGGTCCAGTTCACTTGGTCATAAGCCTTCTGGAAGTCGAAGAATAGAATTGTTGTTTTCAATCTCTTTTCCCTGACTTTCCTTGCTGCTTCATTTAGTGTGAGGACATTGTCTAGTATATACCTCCCTGGGGTGAAGCCAACTTGGTCTATATGGAAGCATTTGTCTGTAATATCCAGAATCCTTAGAGCCAGTGTTTTAGCCAAAATCTTGTAGGGAAGGGTAAGTAGTGAGTGTTCCTGTAGTTCCTGATGTCCTCCCGGTCCCCCTTCTTGTATAGAAGGGTGACCACGCTGCTGCTTAGCAGATCTCCCATTCCTCCTTTCTCCCAACTGTCCTGGTAGAAGTGGAGAAAGTCTGTTCCCATCAACGGCCAGGCTTGTTCCCAAAATTCTTTGGTTAATCCATCAATTCCTGAGATTTATCATTGTTCATGCAATGGACCGCCGCTTTTAATTCATCTATAGTGATTGGTTTGTCCAAGTTAGTGGCCTGCTCCGTTGTAATCGTTTTGTCTAGATAGTGCAACATTTTGGATCTGGCTTCCCTTACCGATGCTGGTGGAGTGGAGGTTGTCTTAGACTCGTATAGCTCTTTGTAGAACCCTCTGGCTATTTCTAGCATACCCTCACTATCCTTCCTCGTGATCTGATTCCCTGATAACTCTTTGAGCCCTTCTATTGAATTCGACCTTTGGTTGGCCTTTATTTTCACAAAGAAGTATTTGGTCATTGACTCATTTAGTTCGTACTCTGTCATTCTTGCTCTTATCTATAGGCCTGTCAATTCCCATTGTCTCCATAGAGCCAATTCTTCTCTTGCATGTTCAAATGTGGCTGAGTAGAGGGATGAGGAGGGTTGGTTTATCAGATTGGATTCTGCAATCCTAAGCACTATTTCCAAAGATTGTTTCCTTGCCTTCCTATCCTTAGCCAATTTCCTGGACAGACGGGCTACTGATTGTGATAGTGAGAGGTAATGTCTTGGAACCATTTCCATCTGTCTTAACCTTCTAAGAGCATGCATCGAGTTTTGTCAGCATTCTTGAACTTCATCTAAGAAGGCTTTGCTTGGGAGCAGGGAGTTGTTCAACTTGTGAAAGCTAGATCCTTTGGTGATATATTGGTCAAAGATGAAGATTAACTCGATTGGTTTGTGGTCCAGTCCTGAGTAGGATGTCAGTGCCAGGATGTTGGTTTCTTTAATGGTACCCGTCAAACTCTCCGAGGTAAGGAAGTAGTCGATCCGGGAGAAGGTCGTGTGATGTGCATGATTCTTCTTTACTAATGAGAAAACTTTTTTGCTGGGGTGTAGGGTCCGGAACGGGTCCACCAGACTATTGTTCATCATAAGTTTCAGCACCGGTGCCACTTCATGGGTGGCCTGGGAGGCTGCTGCCCGAGAGATCGTGTCGTTATTTGGGTGAAGGGTCGCGTTCCAGTCCCCTGCTATGATGCATGTTGTGAGTGGTAATACAAGCTGTCCAACAATTTGTATAAGCTATGTCCTCTCCGTTGGGTTATTGGGTGCATAAATTTTGATAATTCTGAATTCTTCTTCTTTCCGTCTCATATCCATTATACACCATCTTCCCGTTTCGCTGTCCGCATCCGTTTCTTGTACTGAACCTGCTGTGTAAAGTCTTGATGAGTTCAGGATCAGGATCGTTGTGCCTTTCGTGTTTGAAGTGTTGTCTGACGCCCACACTTCATCCTTTACTCCTCCTAGCCTCCTTGTGAAATTTTTGTTATTTTTGTATGTTCCTCTGAGTTGGTTAGATGCGTCTCCTGTAGGAGTATGATATCGGCTGGTTTATTTGAGTAGTTTTTGAGTCCTTTGATTATGTCCTTTAATTTATCCTCCTTGGATACAATATTTCCCAACCCGTTCACATTCCAACTGCGAACTACAATTCCCTGTGTTCTCCAGTTCACTTGTGTACTCCTTTCATTAGCTTCCTTCCTCAACAGGTCCATATCCTACTTTGTCATATTGTTTGGGGAGAGTCTATCCTATTTACGTGGCCCCCGAGCCCCCAGCCTCCATTGACTCAATCGCACCATCCAGGGGGTCCGACTGAGTGTGCGTCAGGGAGTCCTCGAGTCTGTCCCCTATGTTGTCGCTTCCACCCTTTGTCGGTGGTGTCCCCTCCTCTTGTTCCTCCTCATCCATGTCCCACTCATCTTCTCCCTCTTCCATCTCTCTGTCAGAGCATTCATCTCTGTAGTATCTTTCCATGTCAATTGCGAAGGATCTGGAATCCAAATCGTCATCCCCCTCGAAAATCCCCTTGCTAATCAGCTCAGCTACTCTGATACGTGATAGCACGCTGTAAGGGGATGGCTGTCACCGTGTTCCACGGCCTCCATCTCATCTCGCTCCTCAATTTGGTGCATACGGGCATTTTCGCGATGAGAGGGGTGAAAGGCCTAGGTGATCTGGTGTCTATCTTGTCGTTGAGGTCACGCAGATCCTCTTGTGGTTCTCTCAGTGTTTCGTTCTCTTGTTCAGGACTTGTGGCTTCAATCTCAAAGACCCCCAGTGGGTAGGCTGTTGTGATTTTCTCTTGGAGAACCAAGGTGACGTTCTGCCCTTAGTCGATCCTAGGGATTGCAAAAGACACAGCAATGGCGACCCGTCATTCTCTATTCTCCTCAATGAACTGAGCTGCAGAAGAGGTCTTGTTCCCATCAATGTCAGCCTTGCAGATTGCGCTTGTCCCAGTACCTCTGGGGCCTTTCCATCTGCAATCTGTTTGAGTGTGAAGAACTCCGCCTCATAGGCCGTGTTCAATTTCTTGAGCTTCTCTATCTGGGCTTCCACTACTGCAATTTCCTGCTCAAGTTCACTTCTTGCTGATTTCTCTGCTGGTCCCTTTTCAGTCTGGCTTCTGTTGTTCCCTTTCTTGTTCGAGTTCATGGAGGTCTTCCATGTTTTAGATCTCACATCGCACAATGCATCCTTGGAGTCAACTTGTGTTGTGTCCTTGTCCCTAATTCCTTGTTCCCTTGCCCTCTTCTTCTCAGCATATCTGAAAGCTGCAAACTAAGAGAACTCCTCTGCTTTGACCAGGAGGTCAAACTGGTTGGGGGATGTCTTGATGCCTAAAGTTGTGTTCTTTTTTCGATTCTGCGTTCTTTCCATGTGCTTCAGGCACGCTGCTCGGGTGTCAAAGAGGTGTTCTCGGTCTGCCTTCGCCTTCTCCACGTACTCCCTCAGCCATTGGAGGGATCTCCTTGCTGGATCGTCCTCCTCGTTGCTGGGAGCAGAAGTTCCGGTGGTTTCAATAGACTTTCCACTGCGCCCCTGATCTTCTTCATTTTGGTTTACTTGCTGGTCCTCTTTAGGGGGGGATAGTAGCCTTTCGTTGTTATCAGTCTTTATCCCTCTTCTCTTTTTAGTGTCAGGTTCACCTCCCTCTTTGTTCCTTCCCTCTTCCAAAGTTCTCTTGACCTCTGTTTGTTTCTGGGCTGCTTTCTGTTTTGCCTCTTCCTCCCTGATGATGATGAGATTTTGGATTCTAGTTTGGAACATCTCTGTTTTTTTTTTTTATTCTTCTTCCACCTGTTCCCGTACCAGATCCAAGTCCCAGATCAGGTTCTCTCTTGCCTTTTCCTCCAGAATGACCCGAGAGTCATTGATCGGGACTGCTCTGATCTTCGCTGGGTTGCCTGTCTCTTTCCCTGTGGCCTTTTTATGCCACCTGCTGTCTGTCGGAGGGAAGATGTCGGGTTTCTTCGTCGCTGGTTCCTTATCTGTGCAATGCCACACCCACTCCGGTTCCTCCAGGTTGTCATCGAAGACCCAACCATCATACATGGGATCAACTATGTACCATGTCCCCGGTGTGCTAGGCAACGTTGTTAAGGTCTAGGGATATTATGGGGGAAGGCTCGGTGTGGCTACGTCGAAGGGACTTTCGAGGGGCTGGGTGCGAGACAACATGTGTAATAG